GTCCTAGGTCTACTCCATGTATGGTGTGTCCTCAGGCTCACCCATGGTGTGTCCCCAGGTCTACTCTGTGTATGGTGTGTCCTCTAGGTCTACTCTGTGCATGGTGTGTCCCAGGTTCACTCTGTGGCTCGGTCCATGGTGTGTCCTCTAGGTCACGTGGTGTGTCCCCAGGTCTTCCATGTATGGTGTGTCCTCTAGGCTCCACTCCATGATGGTGTGTCCCCAGGTCTACTCTGTGTATGGTGTGTCCTCTAGGTCTACCTGTGTATGGTGTGTGTCCCCAGGTCTACTCTGTGTATGGTGTGTCCTCCAGGTTCACTCCATGTATGGTGTGTCCCCAGGTCTACCCATGTATGGTGTCCTCTAGGTCTACTCCAGGTATGGTGTGTCCTCTAGGTCTACCCTGGTGGTCCTAGTCACTCCATGTATGTGTGTCCTCTAGGTCTACTCTTGTGTATGGTGTGTCCTCTAGGTCACTCCATATGGTGTCCCTCTAGGTCCACCCATGTATGGTGTGTCCTCTAGGTCTACTCCATGTGTGGTGTGTCCTCTAGTCTACTCCATGTATGGTGTGTCCCCCAGGTCTACTCCATGTATTGGTGTGTCCTCTGGTCTACCCATGTATGGTGTGTCCTCAGGTCACTCCATGTATGGTGTGTCCCCAGGTCTACTCTATGTATGGTGTGTCCTCTAGGTCTACTCCTGTATGGTGTGTCCTCTAGGTCTACTCCATGTATGTGTGTCCTCTAGTCACTCTGTGTATGGTGTGTCCTCTAGGTCCACTCCATGTGTGGTGTGTCCCAGGTCCATCCATGTATGTGTCCCCAGGTTCACCCGTGTATGGTGTCCTCAGGTTCACTTGTGGTGTGTCCAGGTTCGTCCCTATGATGGTGTGTCCTCTGGGTCTCTCATGTAGGTGTCCCTGTCTACTCCATGTATGGTGTGTCCCCAGGTCTACTCCATGTATGGTGTGTCCCAGGTCTACTCCATGATGGGGTCTACCTGTGTTTGATGGTGTGTCCTCAGGGTTCACTCCATGTATGGTGAGTCCCCAGGTCTACCGTGCATGGTGTGTGCCTCTAGGTCCACTCCATGTATGGTGTGTCCTCTGCTCACCTGTATGGTGTGTCCCAGGGTCTACTCTGTATGGTGTGTCTCAGGTCTACTCCATGTATGGTGTCCCTCTAGGTCTATCCATGTATGGTGTGTCCTAGGTCTACTCATGTATGGTGAGTCCTCTAGGTCTACTCCATGTATGGTGTGTCCTCTAGGTCTACTCCATGTATGGTGGGGCCTCTAGGTCTACTCCATGTATGGTGTGGCCTCTAGGTCTACTCCATGTATGGTGTGTCCTCTAGGTCTACTCCATGTATGGTGTGTCCTCTAGGTCTACTCCATGTTTGGTGTGTCCTCTAGGTCTACTCCATGTATGGTGAGTCCTCTAGGTCTACTCCATGTATGGTGAGTCCTCTAGGTCTACTCCATGTATGGTGTGGCCTCTAGGTCTACTCCATGTATGGTGTGTCCTCTAGGTCTACTCCATGTATGGTGTGTCCTCTAGGTCTACTCCATGTATGGTGAGTCCTCTAGGTCTACTCTGTGTACGGTGTGTCCTCTAGGTCTACTCCATATATCGCTAAAAAGTGATACAGTAATTATTTTTGGGATTTAGGTAAATTTTAAGGTGATACTGTACAAAAAAATCTTACGGTGAAACTTCTATATAACGGACTTCTCTCTCCATTTAATCCATTAAGATGGGTATTCTAAATCTAACGGACCCTCAATTTAGCAGACATTATATCTCTATACAGTTCATAAGATGGAGGTTGCACATCTCACAAATCTTCAATGTATTGTGCAGTAATGGACCTTCCTTTCTATATACTGTAGTCCAATAAACACTAGTAGAGGTTTCACTGTACTAACATTCAGCATCAATGATTTGGAGCTTATAATTATTTTTACAATATTTGAGAGATAGTAATCTGCCACATTTAATTGGGGTGTATCGTACTTAAATAAAAGTAAATCCAGAAAAAATCTACTTGTGTCGTGTAACAAACTTGTGCTATACTTTGTTACTTACCGTTACTCTACTGCTATTGTACTGGAACAAATATGTACAAATAATATTTAAATGATACTGTAATTGAATTCTTGGGTTTAGTTGAATTTCTCCTGTATCTGTTGAGTGAAATCTTATGAATACAGCAGTGTACTGTACTGTAGTATGTAGAAAATGATTACATATATTAGGAGGATCAAAGAGGGCCTGATGACACTCACTCAATGTGGATTATGTGGCACTAAACCAATCTGTTATGGAGATGTTGCCTGGGTATTACTGATCTAGCAAAGACAGGGAGAAGGCATAAAGAATTCCTCAAGGTCTTCCCTGAACTTAGTGGTAGGTGCAGTACTGTGGTCTCCAGTCATTTGCCTCGACTAAAAGTTCTTGTTTTGAAAGAGCGAGAATTGCCTCAATGTCTACAAGGTAGATTGTAGACATAAGAAGAGAAGAAGAAATGTTGGGGACATATTTTAAGGTGTCAACTGAATACAGCTCCTCCCCGACTTAGGACGGGGTTAGGGACCCAAATCCAGGTTGAAATGGTCGTAAGTCGGAAATGCATAAATAATAAATAGAAAATCTAAAATGGGTGTCTCTTTTTCTTCTCAGCACCACAAAACACTCACTTTTAAGCTTGCCAGCCATTTTAAAGTGAATTACAAACGAAAATTTTGTCTGTGTACTGACTTTGGGACTTGAAAATACGTAATTTGACCAAATTTTGGTACTACTGAGGCAGGTCGTAAGTGCGGTGGTCGTAAGTTGAGTAGGTTGTAAGTCGGGGAGGAGCTGTACTGTATATTTTGTCACTGGATAATTCGTCACTGGTGTATTGAATGCTGTGTAATATTTATTGAATTTAGATACTGTAATAATGTCTTTATTTTGGAGTGAATGAAGCCATGGTTAGGTTAGATTTGGTTGACAATGAAACTTCCATATAACGGACTTCTCTCTCCATATAATCCGTGAGATGGGGGTTTCACATCTAATGGACCCTCGATATAATGGACTTTCATCTCTATATACCTGTAAATCATTAAATAGAAGTATCACTGTAGTCCGTTATATGGAAGTTTAACATGTAACAGACCTTGATATATATATTAAAAGACTGTACAGTACTCTCCCAAATACTCTGTAATATGGAGGGTTTATAGCTAACAGACCTCAATATAACGGACTACATTCTCCCATACAGTACTCTACAGTCAACTACTAAAATCTTTCAGTTGCCTCTCCTCTTGAACCACGAACCCCCAAGAGATTCAGACTCATGAACCCGAAGCATTTATGGACTGAATAATGTATCAGTCTTCTGCTTCGGGTTTACGAGTCTGACTCGCTCGGAGGTTAGTAGGTCAGTATACTGTAGTACTGTATCTAGAAAGAGAGAGAGGACAAAGTTTAATGCATGATAAGAGTGAAGTTGTTAGCAGCAAAGATATTAATATTTTAAAGTTATTGTTAAGGAAAAAAATAGAGACACGTTTGATGATGAGAAGAATGTTTTGACTATATATTTTTTCTTTCTGTTTAGTTGATGGTATAAGCCCCCCCCCCCCCCATGGAGCTCAATGGCTCATATACATAATGTTTGATTGATAATGATAAACAGTATCGCAAATACATTTACAATCAGTATAATTGTTAAGTATACCCGGTTCTGGCTCATTTTAATGCCAAATTTATTGTATGTAAAGATATAACTGCTTGAAAACATTAACTCTCTTGATATGAGTGAAAAAAAAGAAGAAGTTTGAAATAAAGAATATTTCCCGCCAAAGTCACACACAAATTCATGCTTTCAGTGAAGGGGAGTGGTGGGGCCCAGTACCGTCAGCTACAATTTTTTTATTTTTTACTGTATAAGCGTGATGTACAATACAGTATTGTACTGTATTTAAGTCACTGAACTGTAAGGCATTAAGTGTCTTGTCTGACAGCTGTACAGTATTGAAGAATGGTTAAAGCTACAAGTGGTACAGTGTTATCAGTCAGGTGTATACAATACATCTCAGTAATACAGGAATCATCTCTTGAGTCTTAATGCCTTATACTGTACATACTTATTCTCTTACAGATGACTGAATTAAAAGCATGTCAGTTCACAATCGAACAGGAACTCCGTCAAAAAATGAAGAACGTTAGTCGTGACTTTGACCTTAAAACTGATATTCTGCAGAAGAAAATTCGAGAACAGAATCGCGAGATCGCTCTATTAAACAAAGGGAAAAAGAGAGGAGATAAAAACGCCGTCTTGTCTGCAACAGACGGAGGCTCATCGGGCACAGACAGTCCCTCTGTTGGGTAGTACTGTAACTACTGTAGTGATGATAACATGTGTGATGGTGGTGGCACTTCCATGATGGTTTCCTCAGGTGGTAAAAGATCAGTACAGAGGTGTGTGCGCGTGCGTGCGTTCCAATACAGTATTGAAGACACCTTGTACATTTTAATTATTATGTAATGGACATAAACAAAATAATACTCTTAATAACTCATTCCATTATTAAGTTAATTTTATGTAATATGGTGTGTGTGTGTGTGTGTAAATTGTTTGTATTTTATCAGTTCAGTTTCAGCTGAATTCAGTATTTTTTCATTTAGTTTTTGGTCAATTTTTCTTCATCAGTTTAAGTATAACATAATTTTGTTTATTAAAATAATCAGTTATGACCAAAGCATATTAGAAGAACATTGGAGGTGTTGGAAGTGCCCGAAGTGTTGTGTAGTGTCGTGCTGTGCTGTAGTTGGTGGTCATGACACCACACTTAGTAATGTTTTCCTGTACAGCTAATGAGGTCTTCTGGGAATATATATTTTTAAGAATTATTTTTAGAAACAAATACAGTACTATTATGTATAATGGGAAACCTCTCCCAAAGATTGTAAAATTACAATTTGATTGGCAAGATTAGTGTTGGTATAGCCGCTGTGTACATTAGATATGTAAGTTAAGGTTCAGAGTGTATTAAAACACAATTCAATTCTGAGGTAGATATTTTTATTATTTAAATACTACAGTAAATGATAAAAACACTGTTGGTAAGATTGTATATAGTGTACTTGATTTATACACTGTACAACTCTGTAGTCAGGAGAAAACTTCCTGGTACAGCACTGTAACTCTTAATATTGTTTTTGAGAGAATATAAAACTAAATGGAGATCACTCTAGTGGTCGTATTACTTTGTTTAAATTGATATTCTGTACACCGCTCTTGTCAACACTAACAGTGGAATACAGTAATTATACGATAATTTTGTCTTATTTTGTAACTGATGCAAGGTTCAGCTGCTTACACTTATACCTAATACAGTTGGTGATGCATTTTGTGTGGTGTGGCAACTCTGTGTTTGTTTACATTGTCTTAAAACTCCTGGAATGGCCCTAAGGAATGTCACAATAGTAGCCAGACTAAGGATGATACATAAGCATTGCACAGAGTTGCCACATCTCACAGAACACTTCACCACTGTACCAGGTGTAAGTGCAGGCGACTGTACATATACAAACCATTATCTGTGTAATGTGGTACAATTTTCTGTGTTAGTATTAGTTTGCCAAGAGTATTACTTTGTACAGTAATGCAGTACAGTATTGTGTACATACTACACTGAAATTAATAACCATTGTGTAGGTAGACCCTGCTGCTGCCTCTCTTGTGGGGTTGGTGAGGAGAGTAAAAGTAAAGGAGGAAATACTTGCTAAATATTTTTAAAAGCAAATTTAGTCTTGTTAGATATCTGCTTGCTATGTTTTTGTTTTTTATTGAAATGGAGGATAATTATGAAGGGAGAGAGACAGAGCACATAGTCTGTCTTGAGTTGTTAAACCCTTTTATTTTATTTTATGTTATTTGTATTTCTTACTCCTGACTTCACACTTCAAATTAGTACATACAGGCAGTCCCCCAAGTTACAAATGCCCGACTTATGAGCTGGGTCCCAATACATTCATCACTAAAATCTGTAACTTAAATCCCATGTTTTACAATACTTTTATTGTTTAACATCACTTTATTATATTCATTTGTTATGTATGGGATATTATTGTTTTTTTTTATGGTCAGGGTTGTACTTTAACCTAATATAACCTAAACTATGGAATTATCACTGTTATGGCTTGCAAACAGATCAATTTACGAACTGGGTCAGGAACGGGGATGTCCTGTAATTAGTTTTATTACAATTTGGAAGGAAAAATTACACTTCAACAGTGAAATGGGGGATTGATAGCCTGACATATATTACTGAAGTACTGTACAGTAATTATGATAAATATCTGTCCAGAAAATGATCTTTTGGGTAGGCAGGAACTTTATTCAGAAGATTTATGTAAAGTTTCTTACAATATGATGTTTTATGAGTTTCCAAAAAAATAAGGAATTGGCAGAGGGGTCGAGTCAAGGCCATTGTTTGTTTCTGTCATAGTGTGTACCTAGCAGAGCCTGACCCGACCTTAACCTGACCTAACCTGGGCAGGTTTATTGAGGTTCAGAAGACGACCTGATGACTTTACTGACACGAGACTGTTGTTTACAAGATTGTACTCTATAGCATGACACTTTAGGGTTGATCAGTTGCTTCCCCTTTCATTTCAACATTGCACATTACTATGACTGATAAATTGAATAATTAGAAAAGGTAATAATTAACATAAAATATAGTTGATAATGTACTGTTGGTTTATATATATATATATATATATATATATATATATATATATATATATATATATATATATATATATATATATATATATATATATATATATATATATATATATATATATATATATATATATACACAGTACTGTATATTCTATAATTATTATTATTTTATTTTTTTAAGGTAATTTGTATAGTGATGTTTTTCCTTTAACAAACTGCATAATATGTAATGTATAATGAATGGAGGCTTGTGTATTCCAAAGATGTGTACTGTATAATATTTAACATGTCTTTTCTATGTAAAACAAGCTCGTGGTAAACATAATATTGGATATATTAGAAACTGTATTTTATTTATTTTTTAGTGAGGAAAAAAGAAATGTTCAAATTATTCATATGATTTGTTTTCATCGCTATGTTGATCTGAAACTTTTTCTGTGGTGGGCAATCTTTTTGTCTGATTAATTTTTAAGCCTTGCAGTATCTGATTTACTTTCCAACACTGGGTCATGTGGGGGGGGTGGGGTGATGAAGCAGTTGGCTAAGTGTGTATTTGTCACTTGCCTGCCAGTCTGTCTGTGTGTGTTGTCGCAACACATTTATTATCAATTTGCTTGCTAGCCCATGTCATAACCTGGTTTATGGTCAAATCACTAGCTAAAATGTGGTCAAAAATATATTTATACTTACCATGTCACTAGCCATCCTGTGTTTACCTTCCTTGCTGATAACCTCACCATCTTGTGTTTTATCAGCTCATGATGCCTTTTTCATTCTGAAATTTTCCCCTAAAGTGGTTTAAAATACAGTATATAAAACAGAAGCTGTTTTTTTATATTTCATTCAATCTCCTGTGTTATGACTGGTTAATTTTAGATTTTCATTGAGTGGCAGAACAATTGAGGATCACAGAACAGAAGTATGAAAAACAAGCACTGGTATGCCCAGAAAACAATGTTATATTATGCCTTTCACTATTTATCATTTGAATCTGCATTAACAATGCTACAACAATCTACCACTTGAATCACTTCAATATCTTCACTGGTTCCAAAGTTATAGTAATTTGAATTTTCGCAAACTCTAACTGTTTTTCTGTTTCTCATTTACGACGTTTGTCCTACTTCAGTTCTGTGCTCCTCATGTAGATTTGACCAAGAATGTAAGAAAACTCAGGATTTACATGTATAGAAATATGATAAATCTTGGCAAACACTCATACACAAAATATGTCTTCTTTATAGAAGCTGTAGGTGATATTACATTATAATTTATGTTCTGATAATCTTCCAGCATTTGTGGATAATCAAATGTATGTCTGAGTACAGTAAAACTTCTTTATAACAGACTACAGTATATGGAGAGGAAAATCCTTTGTATCGAGGGTCAGTTAGACGTGAAACCTCCACCGAATGAACTGTATAAAGATGAAAGGCCATTATATCGAGGATCCATTCGATGCGAAATACCCCATCTAATGCATTATATGGAGGTTTCACTGTATTCCAAAGTTCTCTGTACAGTGCACTCTGGATCTTTCACATACAAGCAGTTTTTTTATATTTGGTGAAATGTTTTCTTCTATTTATATATCTGTAGTACAGTATAGTCAACTACCCAAGTCTGTTGGCCTCTCCCCCTGAACCATGAACCCTTGAGAGATTCAGACTCATGAACCCGAAGCAGTAGACTGATACATTATTCTGTCTATAAATGCTTCGGGTTCATGAGTCTGAAACTCGGGGTTCGTGGGTCAGGGGGAGAGGCGACTGGAGGACTTCAGTAGTTGACTATACATACTATATACTGTACTGGTTTATGTACTGGAAGACTTCTAATGAGCTTTTAAAGTGATGCATTAATTGTGAAGGTGATAGTGAAGATTTTTTCCAATAGCTTTTTGCTGGCTTAACTCAGAGCAACTACTAATTTGGGTATCCTGGGGGTCCTTACATGTAGGCTGTCCCCCCCCCCCCCTACTGTCATTCAGAATTTCCTAGTCTTGATCCCCAATCAACTAGTACCCTTCCTATATAGAGAAGAAAGTCCATTGCGAGCATTGTTTATAATGGACAGATGGTAGTGTTGTAGTGAAGGAAACACGACTAAGAGAGTACTGTACTGTCTACAGAATGGTGTATTGTAATAAAGTGGATTATTGCTCTGATTTGGAAGTGATTTTACTGTAGTGGCATGTTGGTATCTCTTATCAGGAGTTAGTGATTTTATTCCTCTTTGATATTAGGAAGAGAAATATCCTTTTAAGTTCCAAACTTTTTCCTTTTTTGTGATAAGAATATTGGATTCCTGTTTTGTCTCACTAAGTCATGAGATGATGAGTCGATGTGATGTGTGACTGGTGGGTTTTAGTTTTGTTTTAGTTAACAGATATTTTCCCATTCCTTCCCCTTTTAAGTACTGACTATACTGTACAGTCAAATACTAAAGTCCTGTTGGTCGTCTCTCCCCTTGAGCCACGAACCCCCGAGAGATTCAGACCTATGAATCGAAAGCATGTATGGATAGAATAATGTATCAGTCTACTGCTGCTTCAGGTTCAAGAATCTGAATCTCTCGGGGGTTCGTAGTTCAGGGGGAGGCGACCAACAGGACTTTAGTATTTGACTGTACCTGCAGCTATGGAGTTTCATTCTTTTAAAGCTGAAAATTTTACTGAAATGTTGACTGTTCCAGCAGGTGTGTTGTAGTGCAGTGCTTATATAGTGGCATACTGACAGATATTGTTATTGACTCAGTTACTTGATTGAGTTATTTGTTCCTTGTCTAGTACCTGTACTGTATTGTTGGCAAATGTATGATGTTTGGGTCAGGGTGGTTAGGACCTAACCTAACCTCACCTCACCATTGTTGGCAGTGGGTGATGATCATACAACTACTCGGAATTGAAAGTTGAATACTGTAGATGACAATTATTTACCCTCATTCTGTGTTTGGTTCCCTGCTGAGTGTACCTTAAGGTGTTTCCATAGCAGTATTTTTGGGGAGTACAATGAATCCTCTATTTAACGGACTAAACAGAGAGGATAAACCATATACAGTATTGAGGGACCATTAGATGTGAAGCCTCTATTAACGGATTATATGGAGAGAGAAGTCTGTTGCATGGAGGTTTCACTGTAATGTATAAATCAGCGATGAATGAATGACTGAAGGAAGTTTTAACACAGGTTTATATATTGATCTTGGATGTTTTCCTTTTTCGCTTTTTAATGTGTTACTGAATATTGTTA